ATGGATGGATGGATGGATGGGAGGGTGGATGGATGGATGGATGGATGGGTGGGTGGATGGATGGATGGATGGATGGATGGATGGATGGGAGGGCGGGTGGGTGGATGGATGGATGGGAGGGTGGATGGATGGGTGGGAGGGTGGATGGATGGATGGGAGGGTGGGTGGATGGATGGGAGGGTGGATGGATGGATGGATGGATGGATGGATGGATGGATGGGAGGGTGGATGGATGGGTGGGTGGGTGGATGGATGGATGGATGGATGGATGGGAGGATGAATGGATTAATTGTGTCTTGATTGAAAAATACACCATGTTCAAAAGTACAAAAACTGTATTAAGAATATTAAAGAACAGATCTTAAGTATTTATGTTACACAAATACTTCCATTGCATTAAAGAGATAAATTGAAGAAAATTATTTAACATGAGGGTTATGAGGGGGTCCCTGAACCTACCTAAAAAGTTTGGGAACCCCTGTTCTAGGAAAGTCAGAAGACTGTTGCCATTTAAAACAAAACAAAAAAACCCACTTTGTTAGATATGAACTTTGTTGTGTTTCAGCACAGCCTGATACAGAAGTGTCCTCTTAATTTGTAGTTTCTAAACCGTTGAGATGTTGGCATTAACTTGTATGTTTACAAACTTGATGTCCAATAAAACTTTTTACTATTTGTAGCTCATTTTCCCACTCCATTCTGTTCCAGCGATTTGCAGAAGGCATCTGCAGGATCTTTAGCCTCCATCTTCTCTGCCACGGCACTGTGCCCCACAGAGCTGGTGAAGTGTCGCCTGCAGGCCATGCATGAAATGGAGGCGACCGGCAAGGTAGCGAGAGGCCAGAAAAGGTCAGTGTGATGAGCAGAGCGCGTTTATTTGCAGCTGACGTCGCTTTTGACCTTTTTACAATTTCTGTGCTGTGACTTCAGCACGGTGTGGTCTGTGGTTAAGACCGTCCTGAAGAAAAACGGCCCTTTGGGTTTCTACGAAGGACTGACGTCCACCATCGTGAGGGAGGTTCCTGGCTACTTCTGCTTCTTCGGGGCTTATGAACTGTGTCGGTCTTCGTTTGCGCAGCATATGGGCACAGACAAAGACAGTATAGGTGTGCTTGTGTAAGTTCACGTTTGGGTTTAGCATCATGGCACTTTGTAACAAGTTCTGTGGTTGCAGGTATTCTTCCGCTCATGTTCAGTGGTGGATTAGGAGGAGCTTGTCTTTGGCTGATGGTCTACCCAATAGACTGCGTGAAGTCCAGGATCCAGGTCTACTCTTTAGCTGGGAGGCAAGAAGGCTTCATAAAGACCTTCATGGGTATCGTACGCACTGAAGGTAAGATTTAAAAACGGTGGAATTCAATCTGCAGTTCTGAATATAATTAATTTTACACCGTGTTGTAAACTCAAACATTTTTATGTGCAGATTATTTATGTAACCAACTGATTTATATTGCATGTCCATATACCGTATTTTTTGGACTATAAGGTGCACCGGATTACAAGGTGCGTTAAGCGAAACGAACCAGTCTCACAATAACTCTCAACATTGTTCAGTTGTACCACATAAAATCGGTTCGAGGTCAGTAAGCACAACCAGAATTAATACATAAGGCGCACCGGATTATAAGGCTCGCTGTCGATTTTTGAGAAAATTAAAGGATTTTAAGTGCGCCTTATAGTCCAAAAAATATGGTAATTCCAGTTTGACCGAAAGTAATCGTAAGCAGTTTTTGCAAAGAATTCCAGCTCAGCGCAGCATGTGGAGCAGTTCTGAATTTAAAAACACTTCCTGGATGTGAAGCGAAACCTCTTCAACTAACAGAACAGAAGTCCAGTCGCTTTGTTTTTTAGGCTCTTAGGATTTGTCATGTTCAGGATGACTGAGGAGCTACACCAACGTTCAATGGAGCAAAGAGCTGACCTAAACACAGACAGCCCTTGAAAAGCTGAAAAAGGCTGAAGTGCTTTTGCTTTGTGACTTAAGTCTATGACGTTTCAGGCTCTCTGAGATGAAGCCTGTTGATTAGAGAAACTGTGTTTTCTGTGGCAATTAGGCGAGAATGCTGAATTGCTTTGCTGAAATTTTTACTGAAGCTAAAATAACGTTAACGGTGAAAGATGCAGAGCGTTAAGAAAAAGCTAAAGGGCAAAGCACTAGCTAAAAAACCAAAATAAGTAAAAAGTTAGCTAAAATAAGGAAAACTAACTGAAAGCCGAAAGTAACAAAATACTAACTAAAAGCAAAACGTAACAAAGGACTAATTAAAAGCAAAATGAAGCAAAACAGCAGCTAAGGGCTAAAAGTAACAAAAGACTAAAAGCTAAACCTGTCGATTGATTGGCTTGCTAGAGAAAAAACAAGAGACAGACTAAAAGTAGCAAAAAGCTAAATTAAAGCTAAATGTCACAACTTTAAAAACTAAAAGTAGCATAAGAAGACAGAAATGGAGTGAGTTTGTTGAAGCAATTTTCAAAATAAATGTTTTTGAAGGAATTGAAAATGTGTTTCTCTGGTTAAAATATTTGAAAATAATGTGAAATATTTTATTTATAATAAAAATTCAAAAAGTAAAGTCAGAGCTCCCATCTCGTGAATGCGCTGAATGTTTTTGATATATAGCACAAGTTGGATTGCAAAAAGGTAAAGCGGAAAAATAAAAATTAGGAAATCAATAATGTGAACACTCAATCTGGGTTCATGCAGTTTTCTCAACGGAAACATTTTGCAACGTTAAACTAAGTCCGAGAAAGCAGATGGTAGAAACTACAGTGGACAGACTGGAGACAGAACTGGAAGTGGCAGAAATGAAGACGATGAGGTTCTTCTTATGAGTGACAAGGATGGATAAGATGAGGGATGAGATCATCAGAGGTGCAGCACAGGTTGAACAACTGGGAGATAAAGTTAGAGAGGATGGACTGAGATGGTTTGGACATGTCCAGAGGAGGGACAGTGGGTATACTGGTAGAAGGATGTTAGAAATGCAGCTGCCTGGA